GCCAATTGCAAGCATTCCCAGGCATTTGGTGCCATTTCAGTGTACATGGACTTTTGATTCTGCAACAAACCATGATCGGGGACAAGGATTTGCCACGTTTGTGCTGAGATCATCGCGCTTTGTTGCAGTGTGCTAAAAAAAGGCCGAAAAAGTGGTGCGGTTCCGACGCCCTTCGACTGTACACTGGTACAGGGCACTGTGCAGTGCCAGACCTGCAAACACTGGGCTGTACACTGGTGCCGGGCACTGTGCAGTCCCAGACCTGTGTGTGGGTGGGGGTGTGTGTGTCCGTGTGCAGGTATTTGTGAGTGGGGGTGCATGTTGACACGTTTGTCTGCATGCGTGTCTGGACATGTGCTTATGTCGATGCGTGTGTGTCTACATGACTGGCTATATATCTATGATTGTCTGTACGTTATATGTATGTTTGTGTGTGTGCTGTATTTCCCACGTATACACGTGTACAGGACGTGATGAAGGAGTTTGAACGCTACTACAATGAAAGAGTTGTAGCATGTGTGGAGGCAATGCAGAGAGGGTAAGCAGACAAACACATTCTTAACAGGACTATAGCGCATAGGTACTTGTCAAAACTGTGTCAAAACTTAAAATATGTTTTATAAAAGAGCGAACAGTGACAGTTGTAAAGATTAATAAAAAAACATTCATTGAGCGACAGTCAGTGCCCCAACCGTTTTTAAAGTTTTTTATTGGTCCGATAGTACCACGGCCTTTCACACTTTGTATATGATATGGCAGGCACACATGCCCTCCTTAGCCAGTAAAATCATATGACTGTGTTGGTGGCAAACATGTTGGTCCGGTGATAACCTGACCAACCGGACCGGTTCCAGCTGGCCTGCAATAAAAAACAGACTTCAGTGTAGGGCAATGTACGCATACTCCAGATAATGTACGTATTAAGTAATGGTGTGTAGTATCGGAGTGCGAACTAAGCAAGAGAATGTCTTGTGTCTTTTTGTGTTTGTGTGCCCCGTGTGTATGTATGCGTATGTGTGTTTGTGTGCCCCGTGTGTATGTATGCGTATGTGTGTATGTGTGCGTACGTGTGTATGTGTGTGCATACATGTGTGTGTGCATATGTATGTGTGTATGTGTACTGTCAGATTTTCGTCCTGCCGCGATCACTTGAAGGAGTATTATGAGAAGGCGCAAACAGACTTGGGTCATTTCATTGACTCTGCCTACGATGAAAACCCGCCTGGTGCTCTGTCTGAGGAGTTGAAGAATGTAAGACTTGAGGGTGTTGTACGGTGGGTTGACCATTTTACATGGTGGGTTGGTGAGTGAGTGGGATCCAGAACTAAGTGTAGGTTGGTGTGCACGAGTGCATTTGATACCGTCCGTTTCATTTCTGTACATCCCTATGATACAAGTACAGTAATGTAAGCGACCTCTGTGTTTAGAGACCACCTGCTCTTAGCGACCACCTGCTCTTAGCGACCGTTTTCCATGCACCGGCAGTTCTACACAGACACTGTGGGACCTGGCTCTCAAGACCACCTGGCTTTAACGACCGCTTTTGCTTGCACCGTGGAGTGGTCGCTTAAACCAGTTTTTACCGTATGTTCGCATGTGATTATGTATCTACATGTGATCATGCAAGCTCACCCGGTATTGTATTGCTTTTATTTTACATCGCAAGTTTGGCAATCATGTGAGTGAGATCTGTATAATGATATGCCACTGAGTTGTCACCTGACAACTCATGTGTTTGTCATCTGAGGATTTGTCTTTAACGTGAACCTCTCAGTTACTAACTGCCTAACTGTTCATTGTCCTCCTGCTGTTTTCATGCACACTCGTACCTCGTTTATCCGGGCGGTCCGCGTCCAGGCACTGCCTGTAGGTAGGAAATGTCCGTAACTCCGAATTACATACAGTTTGATGGGGAAATGCCATAGGTATGGCATATGGTGTCACTATTCCCACAAAAGTGACAACAGAGTACTTCAAGTAGTAATATTTCCACTGCAACTCGTCCAAAGGGTGCCCGGCAGACCGTAGTGCCCGTGATAACTTTGCTGTGCGGATAACCGAGATATGAGTGTATGCGTACAACCTGGGTGGATAGTTGATGCTCAACAGTCAACGGTTTGTCCGTGTGAGGCACTTATGAGTCCATGACATGAAGCGCTACACCTTGGGCCGATTATATGCATAATTAACGTCAAAATGCATGTGTTGGATATGTTTGAGAATCACACCAGAAATATACTCTTGCCGATGATCTGCTGATTGCTAATAAACTTTTACAGAGGTAGTAATTCCCGACTGCAAACTAGTAATGCTGGGGGCAAGCATGGATTGAATTGAAATTCTATGGGTGTAGATGTTGTAAATCACTGCTAGGACTTCGGTCATCCTCTAGCCTCGAAGTTCTTCAGCAGCCCATTCTTTGATCCTCGATGTTACTGTTTGTGATTGACTGAGGGAAAGAGCTTATTGGTAAGGGGGGGGGACACGATGGGGAGAGAGAGAGAGAGAGAGAGAGAGAGAGAGAGAGAGAGAGAGAGAGAGAGAGAGAGAGAGGGAGAGAGAGAGAGCATGGGATCCTAGAATATTTATTTGCCAAGATAAACATGTCGAGAGGACATGGTATTGATTGTGCGTGTGTGGAGCCTGACATGATATTGTGCGTGTTTAGATCATGACGACGACATGGTGTTGATTGTGGGTGGTTGAACCATTGCCCCTGAATAGTTTCGATTGTGTGTGTTTGGACCATAACTCCAGATATGATAATAGATTGTGCGTGTTTGGACCATAAAACTCCGGACATGTTCAAGATTGTGCATGTGTTGTATCACAATGAATGTGTTGTATCACAATAGATGTGTTCTATCACAATGAATGTGTCTATTACAGCTGTTACAGCGCATCTACCCCGGGCGGTTGCAGTTACCTGGAAAAGAATTCAATGTACAGTTGGTGTTGCTATGGTTATTAATGTATATGCATTACCTAACTCTAACATGTATTTCATCATGCATGTCCCTGATCTAGGTATGCATGTCCCTGATCTAGGTATGCTTGTCCCTGATCTACGTATGCATGTCCCTGATCTACGTATGCATGTCCCTGATCTACGTATGCATACTCTTAATGTATGTACAGTCAACTTCGTTAATAACGACTGCGGATATAACGACAGTTCGCGAATAACGACAGCATTTCCATGCCCAGAGCAAAGTCCCATCCAACTGTAACACATAATATTATAGTGAGACTTCGGGTGTAGCGACACTTCGCGAAGAAGGACACTTTTCTGATGCCCCGCCGAGTGTCGTTATAAGCCAAGTTGACTGTATTCCCTTGATGTATGTATGCATGTGTATGCATGTGTATGCATGTGTATGCATGTGTATGCATGTGTATGCATGTGTATGCATGTGTATGCATGTGTATGCATGTGTATGCATGTGTATGCATGTGTATGCATGTGTATGCATGTGTATGCATGTGTATGCATGTGTATGCATGTGTATGCATGTGTATGCATGTGTATGCATGTGTATGCATGTGTATGCATGTGTATGCATGTGTATGCATGTGTATGCATGTGTATGCATGTGTATGCATGTGTATGCATGTGTATGCGTATGTATGCATGTGTATGCATGTGTATGCATGTGTATGCATGTGTATGCATGTGTATGCATACCTTTTAACATGCTAAACTGGAACAGTGACTGAGTACTAAAGTACAGTGCTGGAAACTGAAATCCGACCCCCCCCCCGGGTGGCGCAGCGCGCCGGCCAGGGGGGGGGGGGGGGTCGGATTTCAGTTGGCAGCACTGTACTTTAATAGGACACACCCTTACTCAGTAGAGTAAGACCTGTCAAGACGACCACTCGGATAAGGCGACCACCTGTCCTAGAAGACCACTGAAACCAGGACCAAGGGATGCTATTTCCAGTCAAATGACCCTGGATAAGGAGACCACCCGGTTACAGAGACCACATTTTGAAGGTCCCTTGAGCACTAGGTCGTCTTAAGCAGGTTTCACGGTGTATTCACTGATCAGGTATACTTCAAAGTACATACTCTTGCATACTACGGAACGGGTGAATTGATTCATACAGAAGTATTGAAGTAGATCAAATACAAAGTCCACTTTCCTGTTGACCATGGATCATATTATGTGATCGGAGCTCCTGCGCAATTTCGTTGTTTGTGATTTACTGCAAAACCGCTCATGTGTGACCCAAACTTGCTCGACCAGACCACTAAACAACACGATCCCTCAGCTAAACGAAACCCGATCCGACAGTTAAACACAACCTGATCCCACAACTAAACACAACCTGATCATCCCACAGTTAAACTGCTCATGTGTGAGACCATAGACTATTGCTAATCAAGAATAGAGTAAGTTGGTAAAGACGGAATTGTGATGCATTTCAAATCTCCCACTTAATTTTTTTCATGTATTCTCTCTCTGGTGCATAGCGGTCAGGGCAACATCTCCATTCCTATTGCCAGCTTTTGTTAAAAAAAAATTTTAAACATGGAGAGAGTTACATTGGAGTCTTCGAAACAGTTCTACAGTTTATGAAACTTCACTCCTGAATGCCATTCTGCAGGTTATTTTAAAAATGTCCTAAGCTTTTCCAGAATTATTAAACTGCTGTTGTTCATAACCCATGACATTCTGCGTATTATACTGAAGTCCTGAACGGAATTGTAGATACAAGGGAAATGGAATTCTACTCGGAGTTCAGCAATCACAGTCCATGGCATCAAAATTACATCACCATAATCATGACAATGTGAGCCACCACCTTATAATAACATCCCAATGACTTCATGATTTCACCATGACATCTCGCAAGCATCATAATGACATCACCACAAGGCACAACATCACATTGACGTCACAGTGACATCACAATGACTTCGCCACAGGTCTGCAATACCGATAATTAGGCGGGCTGCAATATTTGGAGATAAAACCCGTGTCTACTGTGGGTGGTGGGTGGGCTGTAATTCTTTTAATATTCACTGGTTTGAGGGAAAGACTGTAATTCTTTTAATATTCACTGGTTTGAGGGAAAGACTGTAATTCTTTAAATATTCACTGGTTTGAGGGAAAGACTGTAATTCTTTAAATATTCACTGGTTTGAGGGAAAGACTGTAATTCTTTAAATATTCACTGGTTTGAGGGAAAGACTGTAATTCTTTTAATATTCACTGGTTTGAGGGTAAGACTGTAATTCTTTAAATATTCACTGGTTTGAGGGTAAGACTGTAATTCTTTTAATATTCACTGGTTTGAGGGAAAGACTGTAATTCTTTAAATATTCACTGGTTTGAGGGAAAGACTGTAATTCTTTTAATATTCACTGGTTTGAGGGTAAGACTGTAATTCTTTAAATATTCACTGGTTTGAGGGAAAGACTGTAATTCTTTTAATATTCACTGGTTTGAGGGAAAGACTGTAATTCTTTTAATATTCACTGGTTTGAGGGTAAGACTGTAATTCTTTAAATATTCACTGGTTTGAGGGTAAGACTGTAATTCTTTAAATATTCACTGGTTTGAGGGAAAGACTGTAATTCTTTAAATATTCACTGGTTTGAGGGAAAGACTGTAATTCTTTTAGTATTCACTGGTTTGAGGGAAAGACTGTAATTCTTTAAATATTCACTGGTTTGAGGGAAAGACTGTAATTCTTTAATATTCACTGGTTTGAGGGAAAGACTGTAATTCTTTTAATATTCACTGGTTTGAGGGAAAGACTGTAATTCTTTAATATTCACTGGTTTGAGGGAAAGACTGTAATTCTTTTAATATTCACTGGTTTGAGGGAAAGACTGTAATTCTTTAATTCTTTTATTCTGTGCAACAATAATGTCTTATTAGCCATTGAGGGGGGAGAAATGACCCTTTTATAAAACATTCCTGACTGAATTGCATGGTGTTGCAAGGGAGCGATACACACATTTATAAGATGAGGCATTAGTTTGCTTTCATGCTTTTATAACCATGTATCTGTGTGTAAGTGTTTGGGAATGATCACGCTTTGATATTCTGTGTGCATGCGTGGAATTTTGTGTATGCGCATATCTGTGTGCCTGTCTCTCTTGACGTCTGTATGGATGCGCATATGTATAGCTGCTAAACGACAAACAGGGACTTCTTTCTCAGATGGCGACGTCACATGACAATCATCTCCTACTCATTGATAACAAGGTAAAGTTCTGGAGACAATCATGCTGCAGCTACTGGCAATCGTTGCTGCCGGTAGTGCCGCCACGTTGCTGTGATGCCATTGCTGCTGGTGTTGATGGGGGTGATAGTCCACAACTATTGGGCCCCAAAGAACTGAGTGCCGATGAACGATGAACTAGAATATCACCGAGCACTGCATGCATACTAATATATCCATGATGATCCACTGTGCATAGTTTGTAGTACATTGTACAAAAATACGAGCAGCGTAGCTTACAAGGTTGATGCTGTTGCTGCCGATGCTGCAGCTGATGCCGTTGCTGTCGATGCTGGTGGTGGTGGTGCTGCTGCTGCGGATACTGATGCTGCTGCTGCTGATACTGATGCTAGTGCTGCTGCTGCTGCTGCTGGTGCTGGTGCTGGTGTTGCTGCTGCTGCTGGTGGTGCTGGTGTTGCTGCTGCTGCTGCAGATGATGCTGTTGCTGCTGCTGCTGCTGCTGATACTGATGCTGATGCTGGTACTGCTGCTGATGCTGCTGCAGCTGATGCTGTTGCTGCCGATGCTGCAGCTGATGCTGTTGCTGCCAATGCTGCAGCTGATGCTGTTGCTGCCGATGCTGGTGGTGGTGGTGCTGCTGCTGATACTGATGCTAGTGCTGCTGCTGCTGCTGGTGCTGGTGTTGCTGCTGCTGCTGCTGGTGCTGGTGTTGCTTCTGCTGCAGCTGATGCTGTTGCTGCCGATGCTGGTGCTGCTGGTGCTGCTGCTGCTGCTGCTGCTGATACTGATGCTGGTGCTGCTGCTGATGCTGCTGCAGGAGGCATGTGAGGCATGTCGATGGTCTAACAGAAAGGCTGACTTTGGCTGATCCAAAGTTGGAGCTCAGCACCCCATTCTACTCAATGTTCTTACAATACCCCGTTTGCTACGTAATCAAGGGTGTCAAAATGCTGATTGTACATGTGTGACGTGTTCATCTTTACTCTCCTATGATCCCTTACAGGAAGATAAGCTGCTGAGCTGTCTACGTGGTGATGCCAAGGATCTTCTGAAGAAGCTACAAGACGAGGAGATAGAGAGGAACCTGCGCAGGGTGTCTGAAGTCAGAGGCTACATCACATCCGTACGGGATAATCTCTCGGATTACGATGATGACGATGATGATGACGAGGTTGACATGACGAACACGGAGATTATCGAGAATGGTACGGTACCGAACGAAGAGAGATTCGAGCCATGATATGACCTACATCTGCTGTGCCTTGAACTACCTTGTGGTCGTAGAGGTGATCAGGATGATGCTGTGATGTCATAGTGGTGAACTGTGATGTCATTGTGGTTTACTATGACATCACGACATGGAGCCATGATCTCATGAATGTGAACTGTGGTGACACCATGATTGTAACTTGCGATGTCACGGTGAGGAACTGTGATGTCATGATAGTGAATTATGATGTCACTGTGGTGAACCATAATGTCATGGTGGTAAACTGTGATGTAATGGTGTCACACATCGGTGCATCCGCAACAGACTGTTTTCTCATCCGTTTTTGACATAACAATACTACATGTATACATCATAGAGTGATAATAATGTTAGGCATGCTGTCGTGTGGCATAGAGATATTGTGCTAGGCATGCTGTCGTGTGGCATAGAGATATTTTGCTGTCTTGAGTAAAACGCAACTTATGTAGTACATTTATAGCCTGCATAGCTGATACTACTGTTGCGGAGTAGTATGTGCATTCTACATGTAATTCTCCCAAGTCATCAAGCCGGAGGACTCTCATTTTGCACTCTTGTTCTTTTTAGATTAGACTAATGTAACTGTTCTAGTGTATTTGAAACCGATGACCTTTATGTACAAGGATGTACGGACGTTGTTCACCATGTACTCCAGCCTAGGTGTGCATGACTGCCATGTTGCCATGACGATGTCTTGAACTGAGTTTAATGCGTAATAAGAAGCGACAGGCTCCTGCAGTCCCCTGTATATTGGCACATGTCAAGATGATTTCGTTATTAATTATTTTGATCTATCTAACATAACTCGTTTCGTTGCATTACCTTTTGCAAAGTGTTCTCAAGAACATTACACGTTCCTTGTGAAAACAATGCGGATCTACCTTTGTAAGAGGGGTGGTCATCAGCTATATTTGAGGCAAGGGTGGTCATTTTATCCTCGCACAGCCCTTCAACAGCTGCGTTTATGGTTTCTGGGGGGGGGTGTTGATGGTTTGGTAGATTGTTTTCAGGCTTTGGCGGATAATGTTCAGGATTCAGACGAGTGCAGTAGATTCGCACACTGAAACTGAAGAACTTGGAGCCCAAGAACATGCAGCTTGAAATGCTAACAACGCCACAACCTAATGTTGAGAACGGTGGTGTTGCCTGTTGGTTTTCCGTCTGCTTTTCGGATACATAACAATAATAATTTAAATATATTTCACGGTTCGCGTGAGACTCGGCTGGAAGCCGAGTTTTCCGCATCCGCTGTGGGAACGCCACCACCCTCTAGGATCCAGGAGGGTAACATGGATGACCTCCCACCGTTTAGGCACTGCATCTGCGCCTTGATCCTAGAGGGATACATAACAATCATGCATAACAATATCAATGGGTAACAAATCCGTTGATTCCCAGTTGATTAGTGGGTAACAATATCATTATCAAGATCCTGCACGAATTGTTTCCAAGAACGCGCTGTAAGAACGCAGTCAGATTGCTGAAAAATAAGAACGTCCCAGGCTAACCCCTTGGAAACAAAGTTCTTGGACACGCGACTCTACTGTACTATATGCTCATAAAGTACTAATCTCACAGAAAGTAGAAATGAAGGGATATTATTTTGCTGTGATGAACAAACATACGATGAGCATTCGTAAGAGTGGATCCATGACGGGATGTGCCGCCGCTCAGGCAGCAATGGTAGAATATGATTATGACTTTTCAGTGGTCATACGCCACATAACATAACATAAAGTGACATAAGAATCTCTATTCAGTATGGAGCTGTACATGCACATGACTGTAGTGATGCAGAAGAGTATGAGCACTGTCCGTAGATTGGACACTGTCCGTAGATTGAGTCAATAATAATTATACCATTTACATGAGTTCACATCTAGGTATTAAGAGTGTATGCAGATAGCCCTGCAAGCATTACCATGCCGACCTACAGGAACAGCATGTCATGAACCAATACGTGGAAACTAGTAAAAGCAAAAACTAATGCGATGTGCACACACACACACACACATACGCCGCACACACACGCACTCGTGCGGTCGCACACGCACATACACACGTACGCACACACTAAAGTGCACTCACACACACACACACACACACACACACACACACACACACACGCGCGCGCGCACACACACACACATGCACACACACACACACACACACACACACTCGCACACACACACACACACATGCACGCGCACACACACACACGCACACACACACTTGCACATACAAAACCACCAGCCAGTCTGTCATACATGCTCCGTTGCACTTCAGACCGTAACGTCGGAGCTGCAGGGAACTGAACACTTGCCAGAAGCTATTGTCCCCCGGATACCGAGGACATTCTATTGTCCACCGGATGCCGAGGACATTCTCTTTTCCTGGTGGCGCTTGGCAGATATGCGTCGTTGTGTCTCAAACGTCTTCTCCATTCCGTCCAACACTGAACATACAAAGCAATACGGCAATGCAAGAGGTCAGAAAATGATGTAATCCGACTGCTGGTGCCAAACATTTTTTGGGGTTTTGACTAGTAACCTGTGTGGGGTGGATTAAAACGTTTTAACTACAGTTCAGGGGCGTCGGAAGGTATTTTAGTGTGGTAGTACCGTACGACCAGCTATCTAAAGTACTATTTACTCATGTGGAAGGGGTGACTGAGCCGAAAAATTTGGAAATTTAAGAGCCCAGATGACGGTGTATTTTATTGATTCATGGGTTTTTGGGGCAAAAAGTGGTACGGTCAATCCCGTACTGACCACAACGTGTCCAACGCCCCTGCAACTTCCAGTATGCATCTTGATGGTGCGCATCCTCCAAAGCATGGCGTATGAATGTGAAGCCTCCACGAAACATCTTATACAACAAGAAATCTTTCAAGATCTTGGTTGAGAGCCTGAAATGTGTCATTCTTCGAGTATATTATCGCATTTTTGCCCTCGAGGACACTACACAGCAAGAAACAGACGGATACTCACAGTGTGGTGCGTAGCTAACGACAATTCTCACAGACGCTGCAGATACAGAACAAGGGCATGACATCAGAGAGAATAACACAGAGAACACTTCAGTCCTTCAGTTTATAGAACATCAATACTTTTTAAAAGTCTTCAGCAAGATAGACGGCCTGAATCACAGTTTTTTTAAGTTTACCGATGTGATTCAGGTTGTATAGTTTTCTTTAAAAAATATATATACAGTCATACGTATCTCGACGACACTCAATCTCTGCAAGGTCTGAGAGCTAGCTTCTTCCACCTTGCTATGTGGCATTAGCAGCACTCGGAGCTGGCTGGTTATACGCCATAAGCAGAGCTCGTTATATGCCACAAGCAGAGCTCGTTATATGCCATGAGCAGAGCTCGTTATACGCCATAAGCAGCGCTCATTATATGCCTTAAGCAGAGCTTGTTTGTCAAATGGATTGAAAGCAATTTGTGAACAACACAGCATTACTATAGAAATTTGGCTCAATGCATCATAATCCTATCTCCCAGTATTCTAGTCTTCTAGTCGGAAGAGAGGAGACTTGTCCAGAGCAGCACAACCTTTTAAAACCCAACACTAGCTATGACCAGGTGACTGGTTACAGCAATCTTACATTGTGAATGCCTCATTGTGCGAACCATATCTTCATGAGACATTCCGCGAATCGCCTGGGATATAAGACACATAACAAAACACATAAGAAAACACACCATAAAAACACGCACCACAACAGACACCATAAACACACAACATAAACACACAGAATTTTCATCACCACCGGTAAGAGGGCAAAAGCAAGTCTGTGCAACTCGAAAAAATCTCTCAGCTTACGGCGGATGCTATTTAATGACAACAACCTTTCACAGTTACTTGAAGTACATGGATAACTATTACTCTCTTGGATAGCCAGAAATGAAAGATAGAAATCACAATGTCATGTACATCGCCATGAGTAGTCAAAGCAGAACAACGTTACGGATGGAGTTGTCAGGCTTAGAACAACTGTGGAGGAGGGGGGGGGGGGGGGCTATACCGATATTTAAATGAACAACCGACTATCAGTGACATGCACCTCCCCCCCCCCCCCCCCCCACTCTCAGGCCATAAACGTTTTTTTTAAAGAAGAGAAACAGTGACATGCACCCCCCCCCCCCCCCCCACCACAACACACACGGACAGTATGTATAGGCATATAACGAACGGTCTTTTCCTGTTAGCTCTGTTTGTCCAATACATGAGATAAAACGTCTTTCTTGTTGTTTTTCCTTCTCCATGTAGCTGCTTCCAGCATGGTAAACGACAGTACCATGGCCTTTTCAGATTTTCATTGTACCTATTTGTAGTACCTCCCGGGATCAGTATTTTCCACTTGAAATAATATCCACCCCAATGCCTCATTCTTAGCATTATTTTATTCGCTTCCATGTAATTGGGCTTATTGCCCGTTTGGTATTGCGAATTCAAATGAAAAAAACAAAAAAAACAACAACCGACTATCTGCGCAGACTAGGTACACGTTGTCCAAGTTCACATGACATGTTATTAATCCTCTCATTTGCACACAAGACACTATAGAGAGAGAAACACACAGTAGCAAGTAAATGAAGGTTGCATTATTCAATAAAGAAACACTCAAACGAATACAAACATGCAAACAAACACACACAAACACACACACACACATACATGCACACACACACACACACACACACACACACACACACACACACACACACACACACACACACACACACACACATACATGCACGCATGCGCACGCACAGTGGACTGTTGCGAGTGAGAAAGCCCATACCTGTCCGTTGATCGAGAGAATCTGATCTCCCTTCTTCAGCTGACCCTGTCTGTGGAGGGGAAAAACAAGTGCAGACAGAGCAAGTTTTTAAATAGCAGGAACGAAAGCGGGTTGGAGAGATGAGGATGATTGGTGTGGTTTGAAGAAGATCATAGCAGTAAGATGGGCACTATCAGGTTAATGGCTAACATTGCAGAAAGTCCCAGCAGCAGTGACAGCAGGAAGATTACATATATGACACACAGTAGAGGGTAGGGGCGGATCCAGGAAGGGTTCCAGGGGTTCCGCTGAACCTCCTACTTCAAGTAAATTTCGTAAATGTGCTACTGGCAACCACATGCGCACATGTATCATCTATTCAGTTTTGACTATACTGGAACACTCCCTGTAGAAATCGCTGTATTCGCAGCTGGAGGTGAGTGATCAGGAGAGCGGTGTGACATGGAGGTATAGTTCAAAGATGTAGTTCACAACTAATCAACAGTCCAACAGAACAACATCGGTGATACTTGATGACTGCGCTAAGCAGCCGCAGTTACAGCAATTTTAGCAGTGACAGCCGCAACAGCAACACCAAAGCAGCAATGACATCAGCATCAACAGCAGCAACAGCAGTGACACCAGGAATAGGAAGAGTAATGGAGGCCGTAATGGCAGCCAATGGGTCGGCACGATAACAACACTAGCATCACCAACTGCAGCAGTAGTGTCAGAAGCAACATTGGGAAGTACAATGATCTGTTGATGTGGACAAGAAATCGGCGTCACACCCAGCTCACCTAGCAGCTACTCCACCAGGGAGTATTCTTGACACATAGATCGGCATTCCCACCGCATTTCCACCCATGATGTTAAAACCATAGCCGCTGTCGCCACGCTTGATATCCACTATGCGCGGCTCTGCATAACCTGTTGCCGTGGCGTAAGCTGCCGTGGTTACCTGGTTGTGGACACGAACAGCAAGAAGACAATCCTCATCATTATCAAAACATTCACTAGCTTGAGGGAATGAAAAAGGGAAATGTCTGAAGAAAAATTGACTGTCACCACCAGGACTCGAACCAGGGACCCTCGCTTGAGGCCAGCGATGCTCGGAGAATTTTCAACCCGGGTCGAGTGCAACCCTGTTTGAAAGTCTGTACGGTGGAAAAAATATCGGGCGGTGCTTACACGAAAAGGGGTTACCCGAGTCAATTACGGATAACTGCTGATAAAAGTCCATTTTTCCTAGAAAAGCTAGTCGCATGAATAATTTTGCGGCAAAATTGTATGTGCAATACAGTGCAATCTAGGCAGGAAATGCGCACAAAAGTCCAGTAACACGCTTTCTAGTTGTCTAAGAGGGTTGACATTTGAATCGTAATGCATCATTTAAATGCTTCAGTCAAAATCTGTATTCATTGCGGGTTAAAACTTGACCCGGGTGAAATTAAACCTAGGGTGCAATCTCTGATGTGCACATACAACCAGAGTCTAAGAGCCACTTGAAGCGGGAACAGGTTTGAAAATGAGGGCCGTGAAAAACAACATGGCAACGATCAGTGGCATAGAAACAAACATACCATTTCTACGGTTTGGTCCGGATACATTCTCTGGTTAGCGGCCACGTGGTCATTCACCTTGCAGTAGGTCTGTACGGTGGGAATAATGCAACACACACACACACACACACACACACACACACACACACACACACACACACACACATACACACATACACACACACACACACACACACACACACACACACACACACACACACACACACACACACATACACACACACACACACACACACACACACACACACATACACACACACACACACACACATACACACACACACACACACACACACACACATACACACACACACACACACACACATACACACACACACACACATACACACACACACACACACACACACACACACACACACACACACATACACACACACACACACATACACACACACACACACATACTCCTGCTCATCGCTGAAGGGGTGATAGCGAACAAGCTATGTTAGGGACCATCGCAAAAGTTCGCAGAAGCCCCCGAAACGAAGACCGTGAGTTTCGGGCCTGACCCCCTCCCTCCCCCCTCAAACGAAACGGCAGTCACAATATGGGCTTCATTTTTTCACTTGGATGCTCACACATAATAATTATTATAACACACACAAGCATTGTTGTATCAATGTGTAACAATGTACAGCACTTTATAAATGCAACGATGATATCACCTTGCAGTGGGTGATCTAAGAACGAGAACAGCTAGAGCTATGCAGTTGTATCCTTTGAGCATTACAATGAACGTTGATTGGTGTATAATGCTTTCACATTCAAGCGATCTACGCCGGCTGTGATGGCATGCTTATCCTACAGCTCCTATAATTATGTCGTCAATACTTTTTTGAAGTGAAGCCCGGTTTGCGATTTTCGCACCGACTCCCTCCCCCCCCCCCCCCCCAAACGTATGCTCTTCGTTTCCGGGGCTTCTGCGAACTTTTGCGATGGTCCCTTAGACATAGCAACTTGTGCTGGGATTACACCATTCAACAGCTTGCAAGGCTGATGAATTGATTGCCACAAACGTTAGCCTGGTCTACACCACACAGCTGATTTAAGTGACTTTTTCTGGCCAGTTAATCCCTTCTTTTCATCTTTCATTTCTTTTTCTCCCACCGCTTTAGGAGCTGCATCTGTGCCTTGATCTGTGAGGGCGATGGCATCCCAGC